ACTCTTGACCGAAATCTACAAGCTACCCAAGGATCGTCTATATGTTACATATTTCGAAGGCGACGCGAAGGCCAACCTGGAACCTGACCTGGAGGCTAAAGAGTTCTGGCTCTCCCAGGGTGTTGCTGAGGATCACATTCTTCCGGGGAACGCAAAGGATAATTTTTGGGGTGCGCTCCCTTTGTGTTCAGCAATAAATTTTCCCTAAAACGAAAGCCAGAAATGGGAGCTACTGGGCCATGTGGACCTTGTAGGTCTGTTGCGAACCACATTGAGTGACAAATGGATGCTGATTTTTTATTCGTCGACAGCGAAATTCACTTTGACCGTATTGGTGGCCGGAACGCTGCCCACCTGGTCAATCAAGATGACCCTGACGTGTTGGAAATTTGGAACAACGTCTTCATTCAATTCAACCGTGAAGACGATGGATCTTTGAAATCTCTCCCGTCCAAACATGTCGATACCGGAATGGGCTTTGAGCGATTGGTTTCTGTCGTTCAGGACAAGCGATCAAACTACGACACCGACGTCTTCACCCCAATATTCGCCAAAATACAAGAACTGACGGGAGTTCGACCGTACGAAGGCCGTTTTGGCGCGGACGACGTTGATGGCATCGATACAGCATATCGTGTAGTCGCCGATCATGTCCGTACTCTGACATTCGCACTGAGTGACGGTGGAGTACCCAACAATGTTGGACGGGGCTATGTTCTGCGTCGAATATTACGGAGAGGTGCTCGATATGCTCGAAAGAAGCTAGGTGTTACGATAGGATCTTTCTTTTCATCTCTCATGCCCGTATTGATCGAGACCATGGTATGATTCTACTGGTCCGCATCCTTCATCTCTAACGCATTATCAGGGTGACGTTTTTCCCGAAATAACGAAGAAGGTTGACGAGATCAAGGAGATTCTGGACGAGGAGGAAGAATCATTTTCACGGACTCTGGATCGCGGGGAGAAACTTTTCGATCAGTTTGCAACCCGCGCACAACAACAAGGCCTCAAGGAACTCAATGGAAAAGATGTCTGGCGGCTGTACGACACTTACGGTTTCCCTGTCGACTTAACGCGTTTAATGGCCGAAGAATTGGGCCTGGGGATAAACGACGTCGAATTCGAAGCGGCCCAAGCTTGGTCGAAAGAGGCGAGCAAGGCTTCGTTGAAACGAGATACCACTCAGACCGTCAAACTCGACGTTCACGACATTGCTTCCCTGGAAAAGAACGCTGATGTACCCAAAACCGACGATTCTCCCAAATTCTGTAAATCCTTTCCAACCGTTTGTTTTTCGCCTCAAGCTGATCGGAAACATGTCAGTGCTGGGTAACACTGCGGCCACAATCAAATCGATATTCTACAACAAAACATTCGTCAAATCTACTGCTGATATCCCCGAGAACACTTCCTTCGGCCTGATCCTCAACAAAACCAGTTTCTATGCTGAATCGGGTGGCCAGGAATACGACACCGGAAACATTGTGATAGACGGCGTTGCCGACTTTGAAGTTACGAATGTTCAAGTCTACAATGGTTATGTCTTACACGTAGGGCACCTCAAGTATGGTGAGCTGGAGGTTGGTGGTGAAGTCGTGGCATCGTATGATGAGGTGACTGGTCTCTCAACATCGGCCACATCCCCTCACTGAAACGTTCTTTGCAGCTTCGCCGGTGGCCCTTGCGGAATAATCACACGGCAACTCACATTCTCAACTTTTGTTTGCGGGAAGTGCTCGGAGATCATATTGACCAGAAGGGTTCCTTGGTTGCGCCGACAAAGCTTCGATTCGATTTTTCGCACAAGGCTCAGATCAGCTTGCCAGAGATTGGGAAGATTGAGTCCATGAGCCTTGATTGGATTCGCAAGAATGTGAAGGTTTATAGCAAGGAGCTTGACTTGCAGACCGCTCATAAGATTCCCGGTCTGAGAGCTGTCTTTGGCGAATCCTACCCTGATCCTGTTCGAGTCGTTACCCTCGAGTTCGATGTCGACGAAATGGCCAAGGACATTGCCAACCCCAAGTGGCGTAATACGAGTGTTGAATTCTGTGGTGGAACGTTCGTCGCACGAACCTTTTCATTTGACTTTTTTTGACTTTTTTTCAAGTCATGTCGCCAAGACGGGGGATATCAAGGACTTTGTTATCATAGAAGAATCTGGCATAGCGAAAGGCATTCGCCGGATTACCGCTGTCACCGGGCACGAAGCTCATGACGTGACGCGCCTCGCCCAAGCTCTCAAGGCAAAACTGGATCAGTTGGAGCTCTTGTCCGGTCAAGAGAAGGACTCTGGTCTAAAAGCTCTCAGTGTCGTACGTCTCTGCGAATTTCATGACACGTAGAAAATCTGAATTTTTGCAGGAACTCGGCCAGGCCGATATCTCTGTTGTGTTGAAAGGGGAACTGAAGGAACGTCTCGCTGTGGTGCGTAAAGCATACGACAAGCAAATAAAGGAAAAGGAAGCTGCAGCAAACAAGGAGGTGCTGCAAACCTTTCCAATGAATGAACTGCGAGCTAATCACCACCGACCAACCTAGGCGCTCGACAAGATCTCGCAGTACTTTAAAGACGACGAGAGCTCAGAAGCATATATTGCGGTGCTCGACGTCAATGGGAATTCCAAGGTACGCGTGCTTGCGCTGTACGTTCTATTCCAGCTGACGGGTTTCAGATCCTCCAAAGCGTCGTCGCTCAAGGGAAGAAATTAGGAAAGGCAGTCTATGTTTTCAGCGCAGACATTGACGGCGGCAAAGTGGCGCACGTCAATTTTGTACCTCCGTCGATGAAGGCTAAAGGAGCGGATGCAAGGGTCTGGGCAACACAAGTCAGCGAGCTGCTTGGCGGAAAGGTAAGTTTTGCGTGGTCCGTGTGTTTTCTCAATCTCATGATTCTAGGCCGGGGGCAAAGAAGATAGCGCACAGGGAGTTGGAACCAACGTAGATCAGGTAGACGAGGCGGTGAGATTGTCCAGAGAGTATTTGTCGCAATATCTGTAGAAATTTATGTAGTAATTGAGCATGGTGGTTTTTTGTTGGGCGACGGTACCGTTCATTCTAGTGAGACCTTGAAATTTGAGGGTTCAGGCAAACACGGGGCGGCGACCAAAGAAGCAGTATGTGAGGTTTAACGACGGATTGGTGAGGGTGTAACTGGTAGAAGGAGGGAAAGTCCAAGTGCTCGTTGACTCCAATGATGGACTCTATTCGAATTCTGATCCCGGATTTTCCGTTTGTCACTTCAACTCGATTCTGGTTTGTGATGGTAATTGATTTGCTCCGAATCGACTCTGAATGAAAAAGCCCAAATTGAAAAAAATGACATTGGCTTGCCTGGATGGGCTTGTAGTTGTTTATTTGTTGTTGTAAAAGATTTATTGACGCGTGGAAAAAGGACGCAAAAACGACACCTGTGCGCTTTTTTGCTGATAGCCAAGAGCGAACATTGCCGAGCGAGGAGGTATATTCGAAAATACACGGATATGGTGTTGGCAAGAATCAGGTCCCGGTACGATTACTTGGAGATGGAGAGCAGAGGGGAAGAATCGTCGTTGGGAGTCGGAGTAATGAGGGAGCCGAACCAGGAGAGATTTTTCTCCTTGAGGACCTGATAAAACGAGGCCTCCAGCTCATCATAGTGAACGAGGGCATCTTCAAATAGATTGAGCCTTTGGAGAGACCGCAAGGCTTTCCTGCCGAACAGAGATGACATGACGCACGCGAACAACGACAAGAGAGCGCACCTTGAGAGTGAAAAAGGTGCAGAAGTTCCAGCCGGGCATTTGCCTCTGACTTTCCGATCGCTTGACTTCGTCCTCCCTTTGCGAGATGGCAGAGACAAACGAGCTCAATAATCCGTCCTTGAGTTTGTTGAGGAATTCTGCCCACACTGCGGGGTTTTGGGATCCAGCATTCCACGCCAGTTGTACGCATCTGTTTGACTAATGAAGTCATGACTTATCGACGAGCGTAAGACTCACCTATCTGTGCGGTCCGTGTTGAAATCACCCTTCAGCTTGTCTAACACAGAACCCTTTAACTGGAAGAAGTTTCCGCCATGTGTTCGTGCATCTGGTCGGACAACGTGGAGAATGAGCCACTCTTGATTCTTCCGCGACGAAACGACAGCGTACCAATTTTTGACCTGACGCTTTATAGTGGTCTTGTAGGTCTCGAGGTCGGCATCCTGGTAAAGTTAAGCTCTCGGCCATGGTCGGTGGAGAGACGTTATATATATACCTCGCGCAAGTCACAAGATACATGTTGAGAAAAGGTTTTTCAAGAAGAGTGGCCGGAACCTGAGATGCGTGTTCATCGCGCAAGGATTCGAGTGGAACAAGGGAAATGTCAAGTTTTTGGATCGTTCGAATTGGTGGATGTTGCGTAGTGGAAGTTGAGCAAGAAGTGCAGTGTGTATCTGGTCCCAGCTTCCAGAGGATAGAAATGCCTGTGCCCCGGAATAGGAAACGAGCAAGGTGCCATTCCCTTTGTTTACGCGCCAAACAACCGATATCGGCCCAATTAGGAAGGAGGTTGCCTTGAGTGTCCTCCTCGCAATACATAGACACCGTAATATGGCTGTCAATGCGGTCATTGGTTGCCACTGGTAATTATTGAGATTAAATCAACTGGGTGTACGCACTTTTGATCGCATTGAACAAAATTGTCGCAGAAAAACTGAGAAAATAGAAATTGGGTCTGACACCATCGCTCATAACCGTATTTTAGCTTCATGTGCCGGCAATAATGTACCTCGGAACGCATTCAGCTCAGGGTTTGCATAGGTTTGCATCGTCCATAACCGGCCTATAAAGCTATTAAAGATATTATCAGTGATAGCTGCAAACCAATCTCGCTGTTGATGACTACGTAAATGTTGAAGACAGAGCAACTTTAGCCGGAAGGCGGCGGAGGCGGCGCGAAGCGCCGCCGACGCTGCATTTGTTGCAAAGTAGGAAAAGTACAAATGGCGAAGAATGCAAAAAAGCAAAAAGTACCGACACCTGTGCGATTCGAACACACGCGGGGAAACCCCAATGCCTACTCAGCTTAATAGCAGGGCATCGCCTTAACCACTCGGCCAAAGTGTCCCACCAGACATTTTGAAATACCGATAGGTATTTTTTCGGACTGAGGAAACTATGGAAGAAATACCGATCGGTATTTATGACCGAAAATACCGATCGGTATTTAACACCTCGCTTCCACTGGTTGAGACAAATACCGATCGGTATTTTCACAACAACTTGCTCTTGGTGAAACAGCACCCTCGGAAATACCGATCGGTATTTCCATCTTATAACAAAATACCGACGGCCCCGGTCTCTCTATGTGGACAACTACTATCGTGGCAGCTTTTGCCCGCAATATCTCAGTTGGAATCACCCGTGCTCAGCAGGCTAATGCAAACGGCGCTCATATCATTCCCTGGGGGTGAGGAACATCGACCTCATGCGGAAGATGCTAACAGCCTACAAGACTTGATATCTGGGCAAGCTCCCTGTCTCATTTATTTGCGATTTGCAGTAAATACGTATCTAGGCGACACTTTCGCTGCACCCCTGCAAGCGTCGGGCCCTGTGAAGAACATTCGTGTACCCCCGCAAGACAAGATTTTCACTGTCGCAAATGATCCCTGCTACCGATCTCAATGACTACGTAAAAGGTATCTGCGTCTGTCCTTATACTTTTCCCAACTACCCACTTCCCATTCCCAGGCAAACAGTTCCGCGACACGATGGATTCGGAAAGAGACACGACCATCTCTGCACCACCTCAAGGAGGATGTTGTCTTGCACAACTCGACGGCGATTCACCCGACTCGACATTTCATTCATTTGTAACAGAACTTGCGATTCTCATGATTGACAATTTAATATATTGCGCCCGCACTCTGTACTACTTGTTCGATTGGCAGACGATTGCAAACCGCCTTGGAACGCTTCAGCCCGAGCTCGACTGCATTTCAAACACTTCGGCGTTCTCGTGCTGACGACCACGGAACGGATTGAGCCGGCAGAGCCAGCACCGGAAACGCGTCTGAGGAACAAGCAGTTAGGAATGCGCGCGACAGGCGGGGCCGCGGAATACGAACGAAAGGGCGGTTATCACTTCGGGGGCGGGCGAAGAACTCTCCGGCGCTGTACGGCGGTGGTGGGTCGTGGTGGAGGTGGGCGGGGGTGTATGCAGGAGGTGGATCGCTAGCGGCGACCGAATACTGCAAGGATCAGAGATCGTCTCAGCGCAGAGCGGATGAGTGGCACCGACGGATCGCACCGGTGGTGGTGGGCCCATCGGAGGCAGGTGGGGAGTGGGGGCAGACGTAGGAAGCATGGTATTAGCGCCCTCGAAGCGCAATCGCGTGAGCTCGGGCGCGGAAGACACAGAGGATGGGCACTCACCGCTGTAGTGGGGGGGAGACGGTAAGAAGCGCGGGCCCCAGACGCGCAGCGTGTACGCATGTCATAGAGACCCGCAACAACGGCGACATACCTCAAGGCAGTTCTGATAAGGTTTGATTTCCAACCTCTTCTAGGCGCGTCATGTCGCTTGAGTTGGACCGCGCGCACACGTTGACGCCGCTGGTAGCAGCAGTACGGTCGGGGTCGTCGCGCAAACTGGACGCCGATGGTAGCCGTCGCTGAAGTCTTTCACGCGCTCACTTTTCCTTTTCGCCAGAAACCCAAATCGCTCTCCTACGCCAACTCGTCGCTCTCCCACCCCTGCAACTTCAATTCAACGCCTCCCTCCGCGCTCCTCAAATTCGCCTCGCCACCGCTCTTCTCTCCTCCTTCCCGCCACCAAATCCTCAATGTACCCTGCGTCTAATCGACTCTACCGGCACTCTCCCACTTTCCGGCGCCCGAAAAGCCTGAAGATCGCGTCAATTACAAGGTCTGTTGGGCGCACCTACTTGTAATTTTACTTTGCTGACATTTTGAAGTAGGACCGACCCGGTACTTGTAAGGGAGCTAGTACAGGAGCACGAGAATCGGTGCGTTTACTAACTTTGAATGCTTCCTGTGCGCTCAGCGCTCAGTTCTCGATTTCCAGCGCACTGCAAGCCCCCAGCAATCCAACGCGACAGGAATACGCGCTCAGATGCCCAACAAGCAACTGAAAGGATGCTCGTTAGCGCAATCGCTTCAAAAACGGTACATTTACTTACTTTTGAATCCTTGCGTTACGCTGACTTCGTCACCAGTCGACAAACCCGCCGCGATCCACCCCAGCACCGCCTACAAATGAGTTAGATATCAAGCTTATATCAAGTCATACGTGCGGTGCGTCACTGCGCGCCTATCCCGACCTCTCTGACCGTCTTTCTGTCGCCCCATAGACCTGTACCTGAAATGTCTGGATTAGTATGCATTCCTGCTCGAGGAATGATCTGTAACTTACCTCCCATCTGCATCTGCGCTGACACCGCACCACAACTCGACCCGTTTCATCCCCAACACCGTCTACAACAACTTAGAGGGTATTCAAATGTCAATGTGCGTCGATACGCACCGTTACTTTGTCGCTGCTGACCCTTCCCAGCAGCGGCATACCTCACCCCGACCCCTTGCCTCCCGACTCATCAAGCCCTCGACCCCACGGCACGTACGCCCTACAAATACAAGTCAGCGGAATCAAACGGTGAATACCACAACAATACGTACCTGTTGCGACAAACGTGTGTCTCTGCAGCCTTCGGCGCTTCGAGTTGGCGGCGTAGGCTCTTATTATGGACACTTCCGTAGTCAGTTTCGTATGCACTTGGGTTAGTTAAGTAAATCTACTTCTTTGTATCTATGTAGTCCATTCAAATTCAATTCTGTTGACTCAAATCTACATACTTGTACACGAGACGAAGTGAATCTAAAGAAGAATGCTATCTACTTCGTCCCGTCCGGTGTGCCTCGAATCTGACATCCGAATAAGCACCCAAGTAGTATAAAGGTAGACTTCATTCGACGTACCTTGACCTGTAACCGAGTCGAGTCAATCCCTTGAGTGTACAGTATGGACTGGAGGTATATTTGAGTGCCGAGTCAAGTAGATAAAGTCCTTACCTCGTTCCGACGAAACCAAACGACTTCAAGAAAGACTCGAGGCACTGTAGGATTCCAAGTCAACTAGACAATACTTCAAGTCAAGGTAATCTACCTTACCTTTGTACACCATCGTGACCATCGTTGAAGGCCCAAGGTAAGTAGGCCTCAAGTTTAACGAGCTTCAGGTCAACGTAACGTCGAACCCAACCCAAAGCAAACGAACGTACCTGTGAAACACCTCAAGCCTATCAATCCACCCCGAGTCCATGTCCAAGTCCAAGTCGATGATACAAGGATAGTAGCAACTTGAGTTATAGTAGGTAAGCTACTTGAACGAAGGTAAAAGGCATCCAAACATACCTGATAACCAAATAGAATAGAATCCCCACCGTATACCCGCAATCCAACGACCCAAGCGGCGGCGGCTGGGTGAATATGACGATAGTCTCCCCGTCGGCGGCTAGGTGTATGGAGGGTCGATTGGTTATTTGAATAGAGCCAGGCTCGACGAGCACGTACCTTAAAGTACTAGTCAAGTCAAGACACGAGTCAGCGCTGGATAACTTGAAGGGCTGAAGCCAATTGAAAACTCGACGAACTTGAACGGCGTCTGAATGAAAGAACAAGTCAATAGCGAAACGAATGCAAGAGGTATAGTAAGTAAACTCACCGGTTGAAGAAGGGACGAGGCGCTTGAAGACGAGTCAGTTATGCCTTGATAGGATTCACAGTGAATGAACACACACTTGTACTAGCTGACTCAAAAGTCAAGTCCATCCCGATTCCCGAGCTCAACCATTCCCGGGCTATAAAACAAGTCGAAGGGTCAGCGGATCGAAAATATAGTAACGAACCTGAATACGACGCACCTGAATCGACCTCATCCCAACCATTAATAATCTCACTCTCAATCTAACCCAAGAGGCCGCCTTCGTTCAACTCAACTGCTTCAAGACAAAATCAGTAGGGATTCAAATAAATCATCGAGAGCGCACCATTCTAATGATACGGGCGTCGTACAATCGACTACCAAATCAAAACGAGTCAGTAGAGGTCAAGGGTAGCAGACACAAATGAAGCGCACCTTCAACTGGGCCAGTACCCGTTCGTTCCAGCGTCACAGTCAACCGCCTGAGTTTTGAAGGCAAACTATAAAAGTCAAAGTAATCGAGTTAGTGAAGGGTAATAGAAATAGAGTAAGGGTAGAGGATACACACCAGTTGAAGCGTAGCTATCAACTGAAACGAAGTCATTTAGGCACAATGTAAGTAATGATAAAGAAGGACGTACCGAGTACTCTTGGACCAAAATCACGACCAATCAGCGAATACGAAAGTCTGCAAGAGCAAGTGAGTTGAATTGAACAGAAATTTAACCAGTCAAAGCGACGCACCAGTCAAACAGAACCCAATACCCAATCCAAACAAACCTCTCCCCGCAATCGGAAGCCAACAAACAGTTGTGGGTCTGTAAAATCGCAGGTAAGCTAGCGGATTGAAACAACCATAGAATACATACGGACGTGAATATGCTCGGAATTCAAGCTCTAGAGGAGCGTAAAGTCAGTTTAGTTGAAAATCAACCTAGTGAACAGTGAGACGCACCTATGGAGTTGAATTCAAAGTCGAATCAAGACCGAATCCGTGGAATCGGCGATCTGGAGAAATGGAACGAGTGAGTTCCATAGTTGAATCGAACAAAGAGATAAGAACGACGCACCGTTTGAACAAAACCCACAACCCAGCCAATATGAAGACTTCAACGCTCCACCTCGAACACCAACAAAATCCGGGTTTGAGCGTGTTCTCTGAGGCAAAATTGAAGTGTTGAAACTGAAATGAAAGACTGAACGAAAACGCACTTGTTAGTTCGTTCAGAGCGAATCAACGTGCGAATTACGAAATTGGTGAGCTGGAATAAAAGCGGGTCAGTGGGACGTTGAAAGGGATGAAAGAAATAGAATGAAGGGACGCACCTGTTGTAGAGAACCCCAATCTAGCCCATACCACCATCCGGATTGAATTGAAGTCGAACAAAGTTGAAAGGCGCCG